CCCTCATTCTCACTAATGGACATAGCAAATAGACAGAAAATAAACGTGTACAATAGCCTTAAATAGAAACCTCACAGAAATATAGAGGATATTGTATCTCCGAAAAGCAGAATACACATTTTTCTCAATTGTATATGTGACATTCTCCAGAAGAGACCATATTCTTGGATACAAAACAAATACCAATAATTACATGAGGACTGAAATCATACTCAGCATCTTCTCAGATCATTAAGGTATCTAACTAGAACTAAACTACTAAAAGAAAGCATGAAAATCTTTTAATACATGGAGAATGAACAACGTACTACTGAAGGACCACTGACTTAATGAGAAAATCAAAGATATTTAAGAAATACTCCAAGACAAATTTAAATGATCACACAATGATTCAAAATGCATGGCATCTAACAAAATAAGTACTCAGAGGGAAATACATAGCAATATAGGATCACTCAAGAAATATGAAAGAATTCAAATAAACAACCTTCTTTCTCAACTTGAGGAATTAGAAAAACAAGAATGAACAATCCAATAGACAGTAGAGCAACAAAAATAATAAAAATCAAAGCAGGATTAATGAAATAGATATTAAAAGGACAATCCAAGAAATTATTGAAACCAAGTTGGTTATTTGAAAAAATAAGCTAAATAGACAAACCTTTAGCAAGGCTCACTAAGAAAATAAAGGAGAAAGCTCAAATAGAATCAAAAATGAATGTGGAGAAAACACAACAGATGCTGCAGAAATTCAAAGGATAATTAAAAGTCTACTATGAAACACCTCTATACTAACAAATTCAATAAGCTTAAAAGATGGACAAATTCTTAGAATTATGCAATTAATCAAGACTGAAGAGGGAAGATAGAGAAACCCTGGATAAGACAATTACAAACAAGGAAATTCAAACAGTACTCAAAACTCTCCAAATAACAAGAATCCAGGAAATGGCTTCACAAGTGAATTCTACCAAACCTTCAAAGAGGAACAAATGCCTATCTTACTAAAAGTCTTCCAAATATTGGAACAAGAACAGACATACAGACCAATGGAATCGAATAGAAAATCCAGAAATAAACCCACAGATTTATGGTCAACTAATCTTTGACAAAGGAGCAAAGACTATGCATTGGAGCAAAGAAAGTTTGTTCAATAAATGGTGCTGGGAAAACTGGGTTGCTACATGCAAAAGAATGAAGCTTGACCACTACCACACACCATACACAAAAATCAACTCAAAATGTATTAAAGAACTAGACATAAGACCTGAAACCATAAAATATATAGAAGGAAATATAGGCGAAACACTACGTGATTTGCACATCAAAGACATCTTTACAGACACATCACCGAAAGCAGTGATAGTGAAGGCAAAGATCAACAGCTGGGACTACATCAAATTAAAGAGCTTCTGCACAGCAAAAGAGACAATAACAAAAACAAAGAGAAAACCCCACCAACTGGGAGAACATTTTTGCACCCAACACTAATGATAAAGGACTGATCACAAAAATCTACAAAGAGCTGATGAGACTCAGCAACAACAAAGAAAAGAATCCAGTCAAAAAATGGGCAGAAGAGCTAAAAAGAATCTTCTCTGAAGAGGAAATGCAAATGGCCAACAGACATATGAAAAAATGTTCAACATCACTTGTCATCAGGGAAATGCAAATCAAAACTACCATGAGATACCATCTTACACCAGTGAGAATGGCACATATTAAAAAAACTAGCAACAACAAATGTTGGCGAGGGTGTGGAGAAAAAGGAACTCTCCTGCACTGTTGGTGGGAGTGCAAACTGCTCCAACCACTATGGAGAGCTGTGTGGAGATTCCTCAACCTACTAAAGATTGAGCTTCCATATGATCCAGCAATTCCACTCCTAGGTATTTACCCAAAGGACACAGAAACATCAATTCCGAAGAACACCTGCACCCCTATGTTTATAGCAGCACTATTTACAATAGCTAAGCTTTGGAAACAACCCAAATGCCCAAAAATAGATGACTGGATCAAGAAGATGTGGTACATATATACCATGGAATATTACTCAGCATTCAAAAAAGATAAACACATGCAATTTGCAGCAACATGGATGGCGCTGGAAGGGATCATGCTCAGCGAAATAAGCCAAAAAGAAAAAGAAAAATACCGGATGGTCTCACTCATAGCAGGAATCTAGAAAACTTAAAATAAGGGACCAGGAAAATGAATAGCTATAAAAAAGTGAAAATCAAAATCAACAAAAAACTATGAACCAGAGACACTTTTGGGGGGTGGGGGCGGGAGGGGAGGGATGGGGGTCAGAATGGGGGGGTTGCAATTGTATGGGGGAATATAAAATAAAATTTATTATTAAAAAAAATTCTTCCAAATATTAAAAAAGAAGGAATATGTCCAAGTACCTTTTATGAAGCCAATATCACTCTAATACCAAGATCAAACAAAGACAAAATTACAGACCAAGCTTACTAATGAACACAGATGCATAAATCCTGAATAAAATCCTAGCAAACTGAATCTAACAATGCATTAAAAGGATAATACACTATGACCACATGGGATTCATACCAGGAACACAAGCATGTTTTAACATCTGAACAGGGAGGGAGGGAGGCTCCATGATGGTGGAGTAAGGGTGAATTAGTAGATGCACTAGGGTGGTAATACCTGATGGGGCTACCCCATGGTCACCTCAGTTAAAAATAAATTAATTTTTTAAAATGATAGCACAAAAGAGTTAATAATGTAAAAGCCACACTCTGATCCTTTGTTTTTTGGTGCACAGGAAAAGAAAGGCTGGGGTTTTGTTCACTGATGCAGGAGAACTGCTACATGTCTGATTGTTATTGTCCTACAATATTCCAGAAGGGAGACATTCAAATTTTGCAAGAAGTGGTTTGTCCTTCTAAGAAGTAATATTAAGCATAATTCTGTATATTGGAAATGCCCATACTTTGTGTCTACCATGATTCTGTATGCCAGTATAACTGATTAATTGCTTTTATCTTCTTGGGAGAATTTCACCACTGAGAATTTCCCTTGGATTTTTTTTTCCATCCTTGGAGAATACTGTACTCATTCATCTCCTTGGAGGTCAAAGTCTTGTGAATAACAACTCAGAGTATTCCCTTGCTTAGAAAGAATAGCTCAGGATATAGGAATGGAGGGGAGTCTCACTAATACTCAGTATCATTAAATCTTAGAACTGTAACAGGTCTAAGTGATCATCCACTCACTAAATCCTTCTGTAGACAAGCCAAGGTGAAGTACCTTTCCCAGAGTCACAGAGCGAATGGGTGACACAGCTGGAAAAGGAAATTGACTTTAGAGATGGTAACAGTGAGGTTTGATTTCTTCTTCCTTTCCTAGAGTTGCCATCTGATTTACATCACACTCTAAACAGGGTGCCCATACATCACACTCTAAATAGGGTCAGCAAGGCACTAGAAGGGTAATGTCTGTCATTTAGCTGACAGTATGAATCTATCCACACAACAGGAAATAAAGCACCAGCTTTTTTTTTTTTTTTTTTTTTATCTTAAATTTTATTTTTATATTCCCCCATACAATTGCAAACGCCCCATTCTGACCCCAATCCTTCCCCTCCCGCCCCCCACCCCCCAAAAAGTGTCTCTGGTTCATAGTTTTTTGTTGATTTTGATTTTCACTTTCTTATATTCATTTTCCTGGTCCCTTATTTAAGTTTTCTAGATTCCTGCTATGAGTGAGACCATCCGGTATTTTTCTTTTTCTTTTTGGTAAAGCACCAGCTTTTGACTGCACTCAAGTGCACACATTCTGCATGTCCTTTGCTTAAAGCATTCATTTCAAATGGAATTACTACCGTGAATTTCAAGTTTTCATTGCAATGAAACTACAATTTGGTCAAATATATCTCGTTACGGGCCTAATGCAACTGAAGTTGGAAAAAAAGTGTTTTCTGTTGCCTGTGGGTGTGCAGTGGGTAGAGAAATACAGAAATTCTCTGTCTTCCTCCTGTTCCTAATATTTTCTTTTTTTTTAAGATTTATTTTATTTATACAATAGCTGGGGTGTAGGCCAGAGTCACAGGAGGGTGAGAGGATTCACCAGAGAAAGAGAGGGGAGCAGAACAGGCAGACAAAAAGCACTGCTGAGGGGAGCAGCGGGCAAGACAGGTGAGGTCTGCCATGCCATGTGGGTTTCTCCCTGGCTGGCTGGGAGTTGAACCATGCTGCCGAAGTTGCGGACAGCTTCATAGTGCTGCTCTCAAACCACTGCGCCACCTTGTTCCTAATATTTTCTATTATGCAATGACAGTACTCTCAAAATTCTTCCTAGGAAGTAAAATATATAGCTGATTTCATACTCATTTGAATTACAGACTTCAAAATAAAATTGAAAACTTCCTTAACTTAGAGCATCAAGTTCTCCAAGATCCCCTTGTGCTTGAAACCTTGTTCCAATACGTGCATTTACTCTCCGCTTCCTGCTGGAGAAGGGTTCTGTGTTGCATGCTAAGCAACAATCCACTGCACATAAAAGATGCCAGCAAATCTGAATATTAACTTTTGTACTCTCAATTAAACCTCAGTTTCCCCAGCACTGAGGTGCCCACACTTTATAAGTGTTGTTCAGAAAATTCATAATTGCTGAGTGCCTGTGTGTCCCAGACACCAATTTAATCTTTGATGCTAAAAACGTAATTACAGCTTTGATTTGTCTGATTTCCTATGACAATTTTCACAAGCATGTTGTATTGATTTTTTTATATCACTACCTTTGATATATTTGATAAACATAACACAATCCTGAATACTTAACACAATCCTGACATGAATGAATCATCATAATTATATAGAATTCTTGAATAGTTGTATAATTATAATACAGAAGTTTATTGAGAGCCTATTCAAATTTTATTGCCCCTTTTTTCAGTGAAAATGGTAAAAAACCTCACTGCAAGTTATGGAACACAGTATTTTTTTTTAATTCCTGTGATTTTTCTTTTCTAGCTACAATTCCATGTTTCCTGAAAGAAATGACTGGGTGCAATTATTCCACTGTGACTGAGTTTGTCCTAGAAGGATTAACACACCAGCCAGAACTCCAGCTGCCCCTCTTCTTCCTGTTTCTGGGAATCTACGTGGTCACTGTAATGGGAAACCTGGGGATGATCCTCCTAATCACTTTGAATGCCAAGCTCCAATCTCCCATGTACTTCTTTCTGGGTAATTTGTCATTCATCGATCTCTTTTACTCATCAGTTGTTACCCCCAAACTCCTGGGAAACTTTGTTTTGGAGCAGAATGTTATTTCCTACCCTGGATGTATCACACAGCTTTTCTTTTTTTGTGTTTTTGCTATTGGAGAGTGTTTTATGTTGACTGCAATGGCATATGATAGATATGTGGCTATCTGTAATCCACTGCTGTACAGTGTCACCATGTCCCAAAAAGTGTGCAATGCATTGGTTGTTGGGGTCTACACCATGGGTACAATTGGAGCTTTATCCCATACAATCTCTATGACCAGAATTTCCTTCTGTGGGGACAATGTCGTCCACGATTACTTCTGTGATATAATTCCTCTCCTCAAACTCTCCTGTTCTAGCACTTATATAAACGAGCTTCTAGTGATATATGTGGGTGGGTTCAATGTGCTGTCAACAACTGGGACCATCATTGTCTCTTATGCTTTCATTATTGCTAATATTCTTCGAATTCCCTCAGCTGAAGGCAGGTCCAAAGCCTTTGGTACCTGTGGCTCTCACCTGACAGCTGTTGGGATCTTTTATGGCTCCATCGTGTTTATGTATTTTAAGCCCTCCTCCAGCAGCAGCATGACGCAGGAGAAGGTGGCCTCTGTGTTCTATACCACGGTGGTCCCCATGCTGAATCCCTTGATCTATAGCTTGAGAAATAAGGATGTAAAGAACGTGCTGAGAAAAGTCATCGCGAAGATGTATGGGTCACCTCAGGGTGGGGGTCAGAACCAGTGAAGGTCATGGCAGCAGCATGCTGATTTCTTCTTAGAACTCACTTCTTTTTCAGTTTCTTAAAAGTAGCATCCATTCTTGTTTTCCCTTCCCTTAGCTTCCTTCCATTATGAGTCTTGTTGAATTATTTTGTTTTTGAGTTTTCTGAGTGCATTACATATTTTGGATAATAATTCTTTGTTTATGTGATTTGTAAATATTGTCTCCCATTTAGTAGGATTTTTTTTTTCATTTTGGTGATCATTTGCTTTACTAAGTAGTTTTTTAATTTTCTTTTTTAATTTCTTGTGTGTGTGTGTGTGTGTGTGTAGAAGAACTAGGGTGTAGGCCAGAGGTGTGTGGGGTGAGAAGATTCACCAGAGACAGTGCGGGGAGCAGAACAGGCAGATTGAGTGAAATACACTGCTGAGGGGAGCAGTGGGCTTGACAGGAGAGGTCTGCTGCCCCATCTGGGTTAGCTCCCTGGCCAGACTGGAACTCAGGCATACTGGTGATGGCATGGAGACTTAACCCCTAGGCCACCAGGGAGGTTCTGAAGTGGATTTTATGTGAATTTCATGCACTATATATATCAGATATGTAGAACTGACCACATCAGGAGTGTGCAAGTATAACTATATGATGTGGCAATACACAGAAAAATAAAGGAAGGATGAAATGGAAGAGCAGGGGAAATAAGTATCCACCAGTTTTAATTTATAGTCAGAAATGTTAATTTTGCTTCTTCTCTGATGGTGATTATATAATATTTCTGTTTATAGATGCTTGTGTAGAATAACACCATTTGAATAAAATGATTTCTACCCCTTCTTTTCCATATGTACATTGTCTGTCTCTATATATGACTGTGAATTGGCATTTTATTTGGTGGTAATGTGTTTGTGTGTGTGTTTGCATCAACTGTGGGAAGACTTTTAATGCTTATCCATTTTACTTTTTGTCTTATGTGGATGTCTTTGAAATTAGTATAAATTATTTCCGTGGGCCTCCCTGGTGGTGCAAGGGATTGGGCACTGTACTGTGGAGCAATCAGAAGCCTCTGCAGTACAAGTTTGATCCCCAGCCGGCCAGGGAGCAACCCACATGGTGAAGCAGACTTCTCCTGTCTCACCCGCTGCTCCCCTCAGCAGTGTGTTTCAGTCAGTCTGCCTGTTCTGTTCCTCACTCTGTCTCTGGGGGATCCTCTCACACCCTGCATTTCTGGCCTGCACCCCAGCTCTTGTGTGCATGAATAAATAAATCTTTTAAAAATAAATAATTTCCATAGTAATAAAGTCATTTAAAAAGTAAAATATGGTAGATTTAACCCCAGAAAAAAAAAAATTCATAGCAGTCATCTGTGCCTTGTACAGTGATGCCACAAATTTTAGAAGCCTGAAAATAGGATGTTGCCTCTCTCCTTCACACACTTTAATTCTAAATATTGAGGATTTGGGGTATACTTACAGAATTTTTGCTATTGTTTGTTTTGTCTTCTGGATTATTGAGTTACCACAGGGGTTCTAGCCGATGTTTAAATTTACATTTAATTTGTCTTAAATCCATTCAGTTTACCACTTTGAGCTCTCATGGATTTTGCTCTTGATGTTGCATCTTAAAAATCTTCCTCAAATTCAAGTTCCCCTCACTTCAATCTTATTTTATCTTCTAAGAGTTTTATGATTTTTGTTATACATTTAATCTACTACCCACTTTAAGTTTATTTTTGTGAATGATGTAAAATCCTTGCCAAGATTTATTTCCTTGCATATAGATTTTCAATTTCACTGCCATTTGCTGAAAAGACTCAAAGTCCTTTTTCCAATAGTTACCTTTGCTTCTTTATTAAAGATCGGTGCCTATATTGCTGTGGATTAATGCCGCGGACCAGCACAGCAGTAGACGATGAGGCCACCTCAGGGTTGAGAGAAGCGTGCAGGGTGGTCAGGGTGTCGGTGAAAGAAATGACAAACAGACACACTTCAAGAGTGAAAATCTGAGTGTAATTTTCTTTGAGTTTGTGACCAGTATATATGTTTTCCAAAAGCACAGGAACAATGAATATCAATGAAATCAGCTTGCTCATGGGCTCAGCCTATCACCATCAGGGAGGTGATCTACATAACAAGCAATGACTTTTATAGAAGAAAGAAGGAAGTTTAGAAAGACAATAAGGGATTAAAGTTTGTAGTTCTAGAAAGATGGGATAAGATTTTTAGCATTCTTGTAGTGGTTCCTGGTGGTCGTTATCTTTTGATAAGCTTCTGTCTTTTCAGGGAACTTCCGCTGTACTTCCTCTGCTTCAGGGTGTTATGTTGTTCTCCCCCTGCACGCTGGTTGCCCAGCCGGACCTAGGGACCATGGCGAAAGCCATTCCTAAAGGTCACTGCAGGGGGAGGTGCAGCAGGTATGTCTTCAGAGGGTTTTGCTGTTCTCCCCCTGTGCGCTGGTTGCCCAGCTGGACCTAGGGACGGTTAGCCCTAAAGGTCACTGCAGGGGGAGGTGCAGCAGATTAACTTCTGGGCTCTCTTCTGTGCAAAAATCTATTATTTCACCTAAGTCGCACTGTCTTGCTTACTCTATAGCAAAAAATTTGCTTCAAATTTGTTTTTCTTTATCAATATTGAGTTGGGTTTAATGGTCTTGTGTATTTCTATATAAACTCTCTAAACAGTTTGTAAATATCCAGAGAATAACATGCTAGAATTTTGATAGAAATTGTTTTCGTCTGTCAATTGAGGAAGGATGAAATGAAATCTTGATAACATTGAGTTTCTTATCCATGATCAGAGATTATCTCTAATTATTTAGATCTTGTTTAATTTCTTCTTCAGAATTTTATGGTTTTCCTCTAAGGCAAATTATTTCATTTTTAATTTGTGCTAATGTAATAGCATTATGTTTTAATTTTCTGGTTTTGTTATAGGGCAGGGAGAGGGGCAGCCCAAACCCCGCAAACCTGCCTATTCTAAATGGGTTCTGCCATCCGCCGCATCAACACAAAACATAGGAGACTTTAATGGGAAGGAACTTTAATAAAACTAGGAAACAATACAGGTAAGGCAAAGAGTCTAGTTTCTAAATCAAGCACCCAAAGTTACCCGTCCCCTCGTGGGTAAAAGTCCATCCATATGGGATTGGCCCAGAACAAGGCCCCAAAGCCTGCCACAAGTCTAAAGCATCTTCCAGTGGGGACCCACAGAAAAGGGTCACAAACAACCGGACAAGCCCGGAAGGAAAAGAGCAAAATCAACATCAAGATAAAAGCTGCCATTGTCACCTCCCCACGGGTCTCACCCACATCTGTGTCACCTAGTCCATGACCAAAAGACAAGCGCAGTTTCTTCACGTGTCTCTAGGCTCCATGTGCCTCCTCCAGGTCTCCTTGCTCCATCCTGCTTCCTTCCTCCGTCTCTTCCTGCAGCTTCTTCTCTTGCTGCTCAGCTCCACCCTCCCTTGGGTGGGGCAGGGAACCTCCCCCTTTCCTGGGGACCACCCTGTTGCAGTTTCAAATGTTCATTTCCGGAATACAGGAAGATAATTAACTTTTATATATTATCTTTGTATCCTTCAGCCTTACAATAATCACTTAGTTCCAAGACAATTTTCTGTTATTTTTTTAAAAATTTCTACATAGCTATGTCATCTATGAACAGAGACAGTTTTATTTCTCCTGTATTATTTGTATATTTTTATTTCACTTACTTATGTTAGGATTTGCCATAGGATGTCAAGAGACCAGACATCTTTAGCTTGTTTTTAATCTTAGAAGGAATGGTTTTCACCATAAAGCGTGATTGTTACCAACAAGAGGCTTATATAACTCTGACAAGAAGTTCCTTTTTATAATTGCACCAAAACCAAAAAAGAATACGTTTAGGTGGTAGAAAATTCTTTATCTAGATCATCATTGCTAATATTAAAATATTTATTCACTATTTCATGAGAATAGATCTAATTGACAAAATGATGGCACAAACAGCTTCAAATGTAAAAGCAAGCGTTACTGTGTTCTGTTTTCGGAGCAAAGAGATGAGGCCTGGGTCCTCTGCTTTTTGATGAAAGACAACCTCCTTGCCAAATTGCTGCATGTCTGCCTGTGATCATCCTACTATTGTTTTATTTGGGGCCATTTCCATTTTCTGCAAAAAGTTTTTTCCTTATAACCAGTAAGGTCTAAAGCTTAATCCTGTACATTGGTAATGCCATTATTTTGGGTACCATTTTATCTGATTAGTTGCTTTTTCTCAGGATAATTTCATCTTTGAGATTCTCCCTTGGGTATTGTTATCCTAAGAAAATAGTATACTCATTCATACCTTGGAGGTGGAAATCCTTCAACAACAATTCAAAGTGTTCTTTTGTTTAAAAAGTGTAGCTCAAGATATAGGGGTGGAAGAAGATCTCACTAAAAATATAATAGTTCCTAGAGATCATCTACCCAGCTCCATCACTGTGTAGAAAAACAGGGGAAGTGCCTTTCCCAAAGACACATTGTGCAGAGATGACAAAGCTGGTGCAGGGACTTAGCTTCAGAGGTGGGAGGAATAAGGTTTATTCTTCATTTCTATAGTTGCCATTTGATAATTTTTTCATGTAGGTGCTAATACTCACACTCAAAACAAAATCAGTAAGGCACTGGACAGGTACTGCCTGCCATATAGCTGTTAGTGTGAACTTATCTCACATTACAAGAAAGAAAATGCAGTCTTGAAAGCATTGAAGTACACAAATTCTAAGCATCTTTTTTCTAAAATAATTATTGTGAAATAGAATTAGTAGGAAGAATACAGGTTCAAATTGTAATAAAATTATAGTTGACCTGTGTGTGGGTGGGTGGGTGTGTGGGTGTGTATCAATTCAATATAACTGAGGCTGGAAGAAAGGGGTTTTATATTGTTTGTGGGTATACAGTACATGGAACAAAAGGAATCTTCTTTTGCTTTCCTTGTTGTTTCTGTGATTTCCTATGAGGTAGTCACAGTTCTCTTCTATATAAAAATACAGAGTACTCACTCATTTGG